CTAGTTGAAAGAGTATTAGCATATGGGATGTAATCATCTAAACATAGTCGACAAAAAGAGTAAAACATGAGTGTAATAGATTCAGTGAATCAGTATTCTCAGGATACTGATTCAGGATAGGAGAAAAGAGGAAATAATTGCAGATGAAGGTGAAAAGTTACTATCATGGCGATGGCAAATGAAACTAACCACCTTTGTTTGAGCAGATTCAATTTTGTTGACGTCTCATGTTTCATAACGCTTCCAGACACATGAAGCATATTCCAGTATAGCGTATCAGCATTTTACACGAGAAAACTAAGAGCATTTCAGAGATTGGACTGACGTACGACACAGGTAATCAATTTTTTTTCATTGCTTTCCATGTGAGGTAATCATTATGCTGTGACCATTTCAAGTTGTTTGATAATATAACCCCAAGGTATTTGTACTCTTGTGCCCAGGAAATTATTGTGCTATAGGGAGTGTACACATTCGGAAACAGATAGTGCCTGTCTGTGGATGATACCACTACAGTTTTCTGAAAGTTAGTGCGCATGTGCCAATGAATGCACCATGTACCAAAGCCGGTGAAGGTATCCTGAAGTAAGATATGATCGCTATGAGAAGAAATTACTTAATTTAAGACGCAGTAATCGGCATAAAGACATCATATTTTTCGGAAGGTCATTTATAAATACTAAAAATAATGAAGACTCTAAAAGGGACCCTGTGGAACACCTGAACTTACAACGGCAGCTGAGAATGAAGTGGAATTGAATTATAGATATTGAAATCAATATATAAGAAAGCTAGCTATTTAGTTGGTTCATCGCGGGTTGTTTAAAATAGCGTCAATTTTACTTAGAGGCTATTGTGTAGAAAAATGTCGAAAGCTTTGGAAAAGTCTATGAATAAATTATCAGTCTGATTGCAAATATCAAGGTGGCTGAAAGAGGCATGCGTAATTTTGACCAGTTGCGTTAATGTGCTGAAACCACGACGAAAACCATGTTAAATGTTTGAGAGTAGATTATTTGACTCAATATATTGCGTTATATGATTGTGAATGGTATGCTCAAGCAGTTAACCAGAACTGGAAGTAAGTGATATCAATCTGTAGTTGGCAGGAGTTGCTTGTTACTACACTTATCCAAGGGCAAGACTTTGGCCGGTTTCCGGGACTGGGGAACATGTGGTGCTTAAAAATATAAATTTTCGAAAAATGATGAACGAATAACGTACATACCCAGAGTGAGTATCACACCAGAAAGCTGTTCGGAATGCCCTTGGGACCAGTGCAGATTTTTGTGTATAGCTTGAGTATCATATAGTCAGGATGCTGTTCTCGTTAACCAACACATCGTCAACAGTGAGCTCAAGATTAGAGCTTTTGAATACTGGGAGATGACTATTATAATTCGTGAATACAGACTGAAAGTAGACAACGAAAGCGTTAGCTATTTCAAATTGCTCCTTACCACCCTAGTATAAACGATATCGACGCAATATACATTTAAAGTTTGTGCACCAGTCGTTTGCTACGCCCTCAATGTTGCCTCTGGTGGGCGTGAAAAACTGATCAAGCGAAGCGCCGGTGGAGACTACCAGGATCGACATTAACAACTCAGGCACGTGCGAGCTGCGCGGGATGAGGAAGGAAGACGAGGTGCCGAACTTGGAAAAAGCCAGGGTGTTCTAGACGTAAACATTTTTCTCTAACTTGTTTGTTTGTGGGGCACAAGTTCACGTGTTTTAGCTGTTTTTATTAAAGTCTACTTTCCAACTGTGCGTGACAGACAATACGGTATCAGTTTTAGTTCGTAATATAGAAGTAAAAAATTTGGGTGGATCGGATTGAGGTAATCCTTGAAGTTCAACTTGGTAATAAAAGTATTCAGCTTTTTGCTGTTTGGTACGTAGTTGCAGCAAGGTACTATTAAAGCGAACGATACTGTCAGGATTTTGCGTCTTTTTTTTTTTTGGTGACACAAAGGATGAACGTGACGTGATGTATCAGTAAAGTGAGATTCATCGAAGGAACCTTGGGAATTATTTAGTCCTATGTAGAACAAAGGTATTAACGCATAGTTAAACTATGCACTTAAATTCGTCCACCAGTCTATCAACGTTTTTGCGAATATCAAGAGCTGCAAAAGCATAAAAATTGAATGCAAAATTGTGTGTCTTTAGCACGAGCGAAATCTTGTTATAACGAGTAATATTATGCTGTACCTTAGTCATTGAAGAGAGAATTGAAACGAACACTGCTTTGCGGTCACAAATGCCATCGAGTATACTTCACCCTGAAATTCTGTTTCAACTACATGAGAAATTAAGAAGACCACATCAAGGACAGATGTGTTTCGGGTAGAGGTTTTTGAAATTTCAGCAAGATCAATGAATAATAAATGAATTAAAAGCTGTCTACAAATGATCAGATCATGACCAGTGCAACACTGAGTTCGCCAATCAATACCCGGAGCATTGAATTCACTCATGAAAACCATCTCAAAGGTACCGAAGTCTTGTTCATGCATAAACAAGCTAAGCTTTTCTAAAGTGCCTAAATAGACCGAAAGTGTTCATTTTCAAATGTCTACCAACAATTTAAATATTGTCACTTTATTACTCAGGTTGAATCTTGGTGATGCATCTACGGGTGACTTCTACAATGCTCTTGCGTTTGATGACGAAGATGTGAAACCACCAGCTTGACTACTAGCGGACACGATAATACGATGCTCAAAATACAAATAAATTAAGTATTATTAGACAATCGAACTACCACTCAAAAGAAAAAAAAAACATTTGTACAATGGTAATCAATGCAGCTACAAAAAAGAGCACTGATAACTTTCAGACCCTTTGCGAAAGGGGCACAGTATTAAGGTGGGTGACACTTCGTTTAGTAAAAGAATTATTTTCTGGAATTTCGCAGTCTTCTGATAGTGAATTTCATAATCATTCAGAAAATATTCACACTCAAGCGCTCGCAGCCTTGAACCATAGGTTTTGGTTCTTTTTTTCTCTGGCACGTTCACAAAAAGGTCACGTTAAAGCCCCGTTAAGTACGGGCAAAACACTCGTGGATGCTTTAACAAAAAAATTTGAGCGCAAACACAAAATACATTCACGCACACACACACCAAGACATCAAATACGCCCGCGGAGGATAAACTGCATGCCTTATAGTGTATGCTGTTAGCGTTTTATGATGTTATTGTGCGTATGTGCCCGATGCCATATATTCAAGCTTTAGTGCTATGAATAAATCAATTGGAAGTGAGCGCTGTGCATGTTTGATGATTCAGTGTGTGTGTGAGTGTGAATGTGTCATGTGTTTGAGCTCAATTAATTTTGGGAAATGATCTACCAACTAGCCCAACAACAAGTTCTTTTACAATACATTCATGGATGAGGCCGCTATTATACTCCTGTAAATGGCATATAAATTGTACATGTGTGTCTGACTTGCGCCTAACGTGCGCTGAACATAATACAACGAAGATGTGTAATATACATACCTAGCTAATCTGCGCAACAACTTCTAAAGTGCACGAGCCACAGAAATCTGGTCAAACCTACCGCGGCATGGTCCACTAAATGGGAAGAAGTCATCCGCAGGCAAAAACATGGGTGCCACAGAAACTGGGTTTATTCCTCTCACCACAGCTTCACTAAAAATGAATTAGGGAACACAGGGGGGGGGGGGGGGGGTAAACACCAATTAATGTTTGTAGGCAGGCGTAATCATTGATTGAAACACGACTTTAGTGAACCGTCTGGAACAACTCAGTGCTGAAAAAGGAGACCCTGCATTTCAGGTTCACTGTTTAACCAGCTGCATGATGTGCTTGAATGGTGATTATTATTCGTGCACTTTCACTTACTTTAAAACTACGTGTATTTAACTTGTGGGCAGAACCTAATTAGCATTTTTGATATCTACTCTTTTATCTGCTTTTCAATCTTCTCCAGATTTTCTGAGCATTTTAGTTTTTACCAAAGTTACACGAACATGAGTAGCCGCGGCACCAACAGGTATACCATCCTCTCTGAAAAGACATATTATGTCAAAATAAAAAAAAATGGTTGGAATTTGGCTAGAGTGAAAAAAATGGTTAATTGGCGAAAAGAGTGATACTTTTACTACCAAAAGATGCTTATTCACATATGTGGACAGTGTCTTTAGAAGTCCGACTGTTTGAGGAGCCTGCAAGAGTACACAGATCATGAATATAGTGCAATACTAAGGCTAACTTTCTTTGTGCAACCTGCTATACGTAATAAACTGCAAGCACCGGAAAAGCAGAAATATTGAAGTGATCCTTATTAAAGTAATCATGCCCTTCATGTTTGGTGCCCGCACGATATTCAGTCACGATACTCTGTTTTAAGCCGTATTTGGGAAGACAATAGTTATAACTACTGGGCAGGTTTTTATAGATACGTATGTAAATAACTATGCTAGTTTCATATCCTAAGTTTTTAAGCGTAAACTGAAAAGCCGCCCGCATCTTCCCACATGGGGAACTCGATAAATGCGTCGCAGAGTGGGGGGGGGGGGGGGTGATTCCCGTGAATGTTGCCTAGTTGGGTATAGTTTGGGAACGCTCAATTGTTACATTGTATTTATTCTTAATATTGAATAAAGGAGAAGTGTTGGCTTCAATGAGTGATGGGACGCTAATGTAGGGTTGTGCCCCGCTACCAGTTGAAGGTACTGTTGTTTCTATCGCACCTACTCGAGTCAAGCAAAGCGTCAAGTCAAGCGAAAGCCAAGTAAAGACTCTCTTGAGTGAATTCCGAACGCGCGCTCCGCCGCTTATATACACACCGCCCGCGTTCAAGTTAGAAGTGGGGCAGGGGGGAGAACGGTTTGTATAAAGCATTATCAAGAAAACGGGTCACTTCACTTCGTGCGTGTAGTGGCTTGCTATCGCTACTCGGCATGCGCAATGCACTAATCACGCTCCATGTCGTTTGTAGACTTAGAATAACAGTACATGCTTACTCACAGAGCCCCTAGCGCTGGTGCACGAAACAGGCAGAGAAGACCGCAGGTAACGCTGCAGCTTTCAGGCCGCTCCAGGCACCATCAATCACTAGGTCCTTGACTGCTGTCTATGTACACTGCGCCCCAGGCAGCGATCGTATAAGCAGCCTCGTACGGGCGCTGCCATGCGGATGATTGCATCTTCCGGGCAATGTTTTTTTGTTTATTTCCTTATTTGCTTTTTGAGCACTCTGTGGCTTCATTGTTTTTACGCACTCCCTTTTATTGCTCTCTCAGATAATCTCATCTCAACCCAGTGTGCTCCTGGAAGGCTTACGCCAGCGTCATTTCCGGCTATGGAAAACCTTTTAATGTATATCCTGAGATCACCAACAGAGAGGGGAAAACAATAACGGGCAGTCGGGTTTTTCCCCTTCAGTTGTGTTTGATGCGTTCCTAGTAATATTCTGGGAAGTATACTTTTTTCACTTTTTCTATTTGATAGCTGTCTTGTTTACTCGTGGGCACGCCACGGTGTCTAGTGGCTAAGGTACTCGACTGCTGACCCGCAGGTCACAGGATCGAATCCCGGCTGCAGCGGCTGCATTTCCGATGGAGGCGGAAATGCTGTAGGCCCGTGTGCTCACAATTGGGTGCACGTTAAAGAACCCCAGGTGGTTGAAATTTACGAAGTCCTCCAACTACGGCGTCTCTCATAATCATATGGTGGTTTTGGGACGTCAAACCCCGCTTATCATTATTGTTTACTCATTGTTCTGTTTTTAAAGACACTTGTACTCACGCATTGGTCTTCGAACATCGGTCTTTATCAAGTGCTGTTACGGTGCCACTAATTCTTTCATTATTGCATGTGACCTTCATAAATTATTTCTGCTACTATGTCGGAGAATGTGACCAAGTTGTCGACAATGAGATAATATTAGCAAAAACTGCCATGGCAGTGCAGCTACCTATGTAGATGTAGCGAGATTATGGTATATGAAAGTGGCAGATTTGGTGACATTTGCTGACTAAAACCGCTGACCAATGGCGGATGATGTAGAGTGACATGACCGTTAGCCCAAGTATTATAGCTAGTTGTGTATTTAGTATTAGCGTGCTCATGTGTAAATTTTGTCAGTGCGTCAAAGAATTCTCCTAATCCTAAGCTCTGCCACTGATGTGCATTGTGCCCCGCCACAGTGGTCTAGTGTCTAAGGTACTCGGCTGCTGACCCGCAGGTCGTGGGATCAAATCCCGGCTGCGGCGGCTGCATTTTCGATGGAGGCGGAAATGTTGTAGGCCCGTGTACTCAGATTTGGGTGCACGTTAAAGAGCCCCAGGTGGTTGAAATTTCCGGAGCCCTCCACTACGGCATCTCTCATAATCAAATAGTGGTTTTGGGACGTTAAGCCCCACAAATCAATCAATCATGATGCGCATTGTGCAGAAGGAATTTTCCATAGCAGTTGCATCGAAAGCCTTTTATTTTTAGCCGGGAGATAAGTTCCGCATCTCAGGAACGCTGATAGAAGCAGGATCATGATAAGTTGCTTAGAGTAAGCCTTCTATAGCAGGAGTGGAACTTCTAAAGTAGTGTCCAGCAGTACGCAGGTAGCTTCATGTTTACCTACAACCGGACGAAAACATAAGGGTGATTCCAGGAGAGATCGACACGGGTCCAAAAGTTGATATTTTAGATTTCATTGAGTACTTTATATTTCATGCGCCTCTCACCAGGTAGCCCGAAAGGCGACTTCGTTTTATGATTAACGGCATAACTTACGAGAAAAAAATGTCAAACTTCACCAACACGGAGGCACCAATTTCGCCACCTGTCATTTTCGAAAATTGCAGATGCTATAAAAAGACAAATATTTTTGTTTCAAGGAAGATATTTTTTACTTGAAATGCATGCCTATGGAAGAATGAATTCATATGGTTTCAAGTTTGTAGACCTTAAGAAAATAGCTTTTGAAGATGTCTAATTTTGCGACAGTTTAAAATAAATTACGTATTCCCCATTTTTTTCTCCTAAAGTAATGCAAGCAGCGTTTTTAAACTTGACACGTTTTAAGGATATAGTATGTTCATTAGGTACGTAAATTATCACTGCCGTAGGGTAAATGTATATATTTATATATTGCCTCGAAATTCTCATATTGGCAAAAGTGTACTCCACTGAAATTTGAATAATAAAAAAACCCCATCTTCGATTTTTCCTAAAATCTCGTAAATGGACAACCGAAGGCCACCATACAGTAATATAGAAAAACATGTTGCATTATTTTGTTCTTAGCGACAACATTCGTGGTACAAATCAGAGCTTTTCCAGAATGCGCTGATAAGCACAGCTTGAAATCTGGAAATCGGAACGGAAAAGCGGCAATAAGCTTAAAACGCGAGTAAACGTGACGGCATTTGGTGAAGAAAGGCTGTTTTAGCTGATAGTAGTAACTATTTTGAACACGGTATTCTACAGTATCTGAATTCACTCTTATACGTAGAGCACTGAGACTTCTAATATGTGGTGCCTCTTCATTACTGACACACCGATGGAGATGCTGTGACGGCCATGTGTTTGCAACACGTTGGGTAAGAGAATTGAATGTTGAATGAGTTCACAAACGATTCATAACAAGTTTTTATCATTTGGGGCACGAAGACTGCCGCATTAGACTGAAGAACACGCTTTAGGGCAAGTGGATACTTGCGCAAGTATCCACAGTGCGAATGCAAAACTGAAGTATAATACGTTAAAATGAAGTTCACAATGTTTTTGTCGATAAAATTACGGGAGGCGTAATCTTCGTCCCTACTTTGAACCATATGATCTAAAGCATTGCCTCCGAGATGCGGCGCACAGCAATTCATCTGTAGAGCAGACGACGGATGACAGCTTGGCTTAAAGCGTGTTCTTCAGTCTAATGCGGCAGTCTTCGTGCCCCAAATGATAAAAATTTGTTATGAATTGCTTATGAACTCATTCAACATTCAATTCTCTTACCCAACGTGTTGCAAACACATGGCCGTCACAGCATCTCCATCTGTGTGTCAGTAATGGAGAGGCACCACATATTAGAAGTCTCAGTGCTCTACGTATAAGAGTGAATTCAGATACTGTAGAATACCGTGTTCAAAATATTTACTCCTATCTGCTAAAACAGCCTTTCTTCACCAAATGCGGTCACGTTTACTCGCGTTTGAAGCTTATTGCCACTTTTCCGTTCCGATTTCTAGATTTCTCAACTTATCAGCGCATTCTCGAAAAGCTGTGATTTGTACCACGAATATTGTCGCTAAGAACAAAATAATGCAACATGTTTTTCTATATTACTGTATGATGGCCTTCGGTTGTCTATTTACAAAAATTTTAAGAAAAACCGAAGATGGGTTTTTTTATTATTCAAATTTCAGTGGAGTACACTTTTGCCAACATGAGAATTTTGAGGCAATATATAAATATATACATTTACCCTACGGCCGTGATTATTTATGTACCTAATGAACACACTATGTCCTTCAAACCTGTCAAGTTTGAAAACGCTGCTTGCATTACTTTCGGATAAAAAAAAAATGGGGAATACGTAATTTATTTTAAACTGTCGCAAAATTAGTCATTTTTAAAAGCTATTTTCTTAAGGTCTACAAACTTGAAACCGTATGAATTCATTCTGATTGATTGATATGTGGGGTTTAACGTCGCAAAACCACCATATGATTATGAGAGACGCCGTAGTGGAGGGCTCCGGATATTTTGACCAACTGGGGTTCTTTAACATGCACCCATATCTGAGCACACGGGCCTACAAGATTTCCGCTTCCATCGGAAATGCAGCCGCCGCAGCCGGGATTTGAACCCGCGACCTGCGGGTCAGCAGCCGAGTACCTTAGCCACTAGACCACCGCGGCGGGGCATGAATTCATTCTTCATTAGACATGCATTTCAGGTAAAAAATATCTTCCTTGAAACAAAAATATTTGTCTTTTTATAGCATCTGCAATTTTCGAAAATGACAGGTGATGAAATTGGTGCCTCCGTGTTGTTGAAGTTTGATATTTTTTTTCTCGTAACTTATGCCGTTAATCATAAAACGAAGTTGACTTTCGGGCTACCTGGTGAGAGGTGCAGAAAATGTATAATACCCAATGAAATCTAAAATATCAACTTTTGGACCCGTGTCGATCTCTTGTGGAATCACCCATAAACAAAGCCAACGTTCGTCGACGAATGTACGCATACACAAGCCATGCTCAAGCCACTGTCTACTAATTAAAAAACAACAGAGAAAGTCTAAATTTACTCATATTACGAAACACGCTCTAATACGTCAATGGAACATGTGACGGTATTAGGATGAAGCAAAACAGTCACAAAAATATTTTGTGTGAGAAGGACCATTCAGAGTGCCCTACGAAAAATCATGCCGTGTGACATGGTTCAGGCGCAGCCTAGTTCCGGCCACCGCCGTTGGGCAAATGAAGTTCATTCAAATCAACTCAGCTAATGAGTGTTACCATTTTGTTGACACTAATTTCTATTTACTGAAGGTATAAACACTGCTAGGGCCAATATATACTGTGGTATTTGAAAAGCCTCTAGGCGATCGCACTTAATTTATTTGTTCGAAGTTTGTTGGTGTCAGTTCTGTAATTTTATGTTGCTATTTCAGAGCAAAAAGCCATCTTCATGCTATAGCTAGTGGCGTGTGCAGGAGCGCTCAAGTATATTTCACAGTTTTTGTTGGGCGACTACTCGAAAAGTATAGTAGTGTCGTCGATCTCACACTTTATGTACGAGTACGGTAAACCATAGAGTTTCCTTAAATTAACTAGATGGGACTCTGGCGCTGCGATCGTTCAGCGACCATGGGAATGATGGGTAGCACACGGATTTACCTTGTGTTTGTACTTGCGGCTTCGTTTATTGCTGGTATCGGTTTCATTTTGAAGGAAAGAACGAACCATTTCGAACTTCGTGACCCGATTCAAAATGGCAAGCCTGAAAGAATAAGGTGGTGAAGTGCAACCGCTGAACATTTGCTGATTTTTGTTTCGCGAGAAAACAGCTCCCAGACACAACGACCACACACGAAGCCAGAAGTAGGCCATAAATACGAAGATTAGACAAATACGAGTA